TACCAAGGAGATGCAGACAATAATTGTTAATGCAGAACTTTAGTGTAAGTTGTTTGAGGTAATGTAATATCCTTCTTAATACTTCTGAAATGCAGTGGGTAACTACAGCCAGTGCTGGACATTGAGTTGCTGGGAGAAAACCAATCTTGAATACTTGCATCACACTGTCTCACAAGAGTAGCTAAGGTAGAACCAAAAACGAGATCCTTCACAGGCTTTAAAAATCCTATCTAGACATCAGAGAGACTATTATCCCTTCTAACGTTAGCAGTCAGCAATCCATCTGAGCATTCACAAGTGTTAAATGGACCTTTTCAATATGATAGTGAAGTTGAAATCAGAATAATTGTTCTGTATTTCTTGATGATAATCACAGCCAATCACAGCCCAATTACAACCCATTTAAACCATACAAGATGAAGAGAAAAAGGAAAAAACCATTCTGCTAAGTTAGGAAACAAATCATCCTACAAATGATCCTAAAATCGCAATCTCCAATTAACAACAATACCAAGATAATTACAGACACCTGCTCGACATATACTATAGTGAAGATGTGAAATCAACAAAAATCCCATAAATTGTAAAAGGTCGAAGTCATTCCTTAGATATTTACTACAACCAATTAAGCGCCTGTTTGAGCTCCATTTTTTTGGAAAGAATGCATTTTGGAATAGTATTTTGATGGAGAATGTGTGGTTAAAAAATAAAAAAAGTTTTGGATTTGCATGTTATCTTATTTTATTGAAGAATGTGTGGTCGAAAATAAGAAAGAGAAAAATGTATTTTGGAATAATGGGAACCAAACAAGGGCTAAATAACATAATTATGCCATTATAGTTGCAACAAGAAGCATACCATTCCCTATCATGCCTCCAAAAATCCAAATGAAATAAATTATCCTTACAATCCAATAAAACCCAAATACAGATCTTGTGTGACCCAAGTTTTAACTAAACAGCAACAGGGTGGCTTATATTTATGATCAAAGTAACAGAGCAATTTGCAAATAAGATATATACGAGAAGAAGATATTAGAATATTATGCGGACATAGACACTTGACTAATTTTAC